TCAGAGAAGGCCTTTGGGATTCAGCCTGAATGGAGCTAGAATGGGTGGGAACCCGCCCCTTCTAATAGGAGAGCTCCTTTTCTTTATATTTGTGTGGCATTTGCACACACTTTGCATGCAACTGTTCTGTTCGATTATTTTTCTTCTAAATTTGGAGCGGTAGGAAAGGCTATTTCATATGAAGACACAGGGATGAAGTTCCTGCTGGGGTGGCCCGCCAGGACAGGAGCCCTGTCCCTGGGCCTCTCCTCTGTCCACAGGAGGCGGGGCAGTGGGTGTCGCCGGGCTGATTAAGTCCCATGGGGTGGCAGGGCCTCTCCTGAGTTTCCTGTGCTCTCTGCCTCTAGTCTCTCGAGTACAACATCTTCGAAGGCATGGAGTGCCGCGGCTCTCCGCTGGTGGTCATCAGCCAGGGCAAGATCGTCCTGGAGGACCGCACCCTGCACGTCACCGAAGGCTCTGGGCGCTACATCCCCCGGAAGCCCTTCCCTGATTTTGTTTACAAGCGTATCAAGGCAAGGAGCAGGGTGAGTGGCTTCGTTCTTTAAGAATTCTTTTTTTAAAATCATGGATTAAGTTCAATGCCACAAACACTGACTAAGAGCTTTGAATCAGAATAATGGAGGTGAATACAGGGGATGACAAGGGTAAGGGGTGGGGCGAGGACTCAGAGGGGGGAACCATGGCTTCAGAGTCGTGGAGGAGAGTGTCATGCGGAGAGGGCATTTTGAGTTGGGTTTTGAAGGTTAAGTAGGAGTTTCTCAAGTCAAAGAAGGGAGATGGGGAACAGGGTAGAGAGACTGTCATGAGCATAGAAAATGTATAATGTATCCAGGTGAACAGTCCACATCCCTGGGGTGGGGACTGTAAGGCAGGGGAGGGATGGGCTAGAAGGGAATTACAGGGAGATTGGATAGAAATTTGGGGCCAGATCTTAAACCTGACACCAGGTCTTCCTCACAGTGTGTTTAGGGGATCTTATAGGGTTTAAAGTTGAAGTTCCTTGGGAGAAAAATGGTAAGAAATGTTAGTTTTTGTAGAATCATCAGTTACCAGTGACCCATCTTGTGGGGAGCTCCGGCTTGGAGCCGAGGGAGCTGGCCGCACCACCTGTCCTTGGCGTCCCTGTCTGCAAGGAGAGCCCCCCGTCCCCAGATCTCGCCGGCTGTCCTGGCCTCTGGTCCTTCCTCGCCAGGAGGCGTCCTCTGCGACTGGGGCCTGAGCGGGGGCTCTTGTGTTTTGCAGCTGGCAGAGCTGAGAGGGGTTCCTCGCGGGCTGTACGACGGGCCCGTGTGCGAGGTGTCTGTGACGCCCAAGACGGTCACTCCAGCCTCCTCGGCCAAGACGTCCCCTGCCAAGCAGCAGGCCCCACCTGTGCGGAACCTGCACCAGTCCGGATTCAGCTTGTCCGGTACGTTGGGCGTGGCCAGGGCCCCTCCTGCCCACGGGAGCTGCGGAGCTGGCGGTTGCATTTGGAAAAGGGACAGAAATAGAAACGAACGATGTTCTCATGCCCCCCAAAGTGGGAAGTACAGTGTTCTGATACCGCCAGGGATGTGTTTTCACAGGAAACGACCAGTTGGGTTTCAGAATCTTTTTTTTTTTTTGAGACAGAGTCTCATTGTGTTGCCCAGGCTAGAGTGAGTGCTGTGGTATCAGCCCAGCTCACAGCAACCTCAAACTCCTGGGCTCAAGCGATCCTCCTGCCTCAGCCTCCCGAGTAGCTGGGACCATAGGCATGCGCCACCATGCCCGGCTAATTTTTTCTATATAGTTTTAGTTGGCCAATTAATTTCTTTCTATTTTTAGTAGAGACGGAGTCTCGCTCTTGCTCAGGCTGGTGTGGAACTCCTGATGTTGAGCAATCCGCCCGCCTCGGCCTCCCAGAGTGCTAGGATTACAGGCGTGAGCCACCACACCCGGGTTTCAGAATCTTGATAAAAGTTTATATCATGTATAACGCTATGATGCCCCTACTATGTGTAATACCTAATATAGCAAGAGGACATTTTTTCAGTTTATTAGGTCCTTTGTAAAAAAAGGACATAGTGGTATGTCAGGACTTCTCCCTACAGTATATTATAGCAGTTCAGCTTGCAGAGTCTGGAGTTTGAACAGCCCAACTTTGGAGCTCAGCCCTAGCCGTGCCTCAGTTTCCTCACCTGTAGAATGGGGATGATAGCAGTAGTTCCCTTATCATGTTATCTGTGAGGGTTAAATGAGTTAATGCTCTTGTAAAGCGCTTAGAACTTCACATTCGAGAACTGTTAGCTATTCACCTGGATAAAACAGGTGACGTCCCCTTGGTGAGAAGAAAGGGTCCGCATTTTAGAGTTTCCCTCCTTGAAACTTCCTTCCCGTATTTCGTCTGGTCTGTGACTAGAACATCCCACTTTTCCAGCCTCCAGAGCCACAGATAGGCACCCACATGCCTGTGACGTGTTAAAGGAATAGTTCGTCGGACAATTACCGTCTTGGCAGATGCACAGGGTTTTCGAAAGTTACCGTATCTGACACGTACGGATTGCCAGTTTTCAAAAAATTAACAAAGAACGAACTTTAGTTTTGTCATATGTAAAATGGGCATCGTCCTGTCTGTGCTATCTGATGTCCCCAGGCCGTTCAAACACCAGATGCCATTGTTAGTCCTTCTTGCAGCTGTACACGTAGGGTTAAGGGAAGCAGACTATCCCGGGGAGAGGGCTGTGCCATCAGAGAAGCCACGGCCAGCTTGGCCAACGGGACCAGTGGCAGGGTGGCACCTGCAACGGAGTGGCATTTTGTATGTCGCTCTCCTTTCTCTGGGGTAGTAGATCCTTCCGCAAGGGCTGCTTTATAGCCTGTGATTCTTTGGCCAACCTTGGATCTGTCTCCTTTTTGTAGTCTGCAGTGACAGTGACCATTTGAGAGAAGGGCAAACATTGTGGCTGGGTGCCGCTGTGTGGTGACCCTGTGGCTGTCCCTCACCCTCTCCCTCTGCTCCCCCCGCAGGCGCCCAGATCGACGACAACATTCCCCGCCGCACCACGCAGCGCATCGTGGCTCCCCCTGGCGGCCGCGCCAACATCACCAGCCTGGGCTAGAGCTCCCGGCCACGCCGCGCACTTGGGGACGGGGATGAGACACCCGAGGACATTCTGAGACTTCCTTCCTTCCTTCCTTCCTTTTTTTTTGTTTTTTTTTGTTTTTTTTTCTTAAGAGCCTGTGATAGTTACTGTGGGGCAACCAGTTCCCGGGGTCCCTCCTGGGGCCTCGCACTCCGCCTCCCGCCGAGAGGCACTGACTTTGCTCGCCCACGTCCCTACACATGTCCGAGCACCACACCCGGGGCTGTGCCGCCCTCACACGGAACCGCACCCGACACCAGACACGCGCGGCCCGCACACGCCGGCGAGGGCGCTCTCCACCTCCGCCTCCGTAGCTCTCCTTAGCATCTCTCTTTCACGGGGGAAGATAGAGTGAATTGCCCAGAGCTGCCTTGTTTCCTTTTTCTTTTCAAATTTTTTAAAAAAGTTTTGTTTGTGGGGGCTTAGGGAGGGGTCGGGGGGTAGGGGAGAAGTTTTGTTTTTTTTAACTACTAAATTGGAAAGTCTAATTCATTATTAACACACGGGGTTTGAACTGGACATCCTAATGATGCAATCATGTAACCGTCACGCTGATCCAGGGTGGTGACACGCCCATCACGTCCATCCCGAGAGGCTGCAAAACGCCCATGTCATAGCCATTCCGTAGCCTTCTGGGTCACCTGCTGATAAAGGGCAGGCTTGCTTTTTTTTTTTTAGCCTAGATTTTATTGCAGATGAACTCTCTGGAGGTGAAATCTCTTCACCGTCTTTCTGCACACTCTTTCTCCCTCTCTTTCTAGCTCATGAATATTTTCAAGTGTCTGTGTCTTTCTTCGTGTTCCCTCCAGCCCTTGTCTCTGAGACCGTGGGGTTTTCCCCACCTTCCCCTGTCGTCTTTCCAAATTGCCAGGTCTGCTAGTTCCCCGTGGTCACGGGACCCGCCCGAAGGATGTGAGTGTTGCCATGGCAACCGTGGCGGTGTGCTGTCCTCGCCTGTGTGAGACCGGTGCTACCCACCCCGTCCTGAGGTTGTGCGTTAGAGTTGGGAGACTTGCCAGGTGCAGGGGCGGGCTGAGCGGTGTCACCCACGTTGTCACACGGGGCCCAGCAGGGACCCGCAAACAGTGCTGAGATGTTGAAGATGTCTGAGGCTGCGCCGAGCAGGAGATTTCTCCTCTGTGCCGGGCGGTCTGGCTAAAGACACAGTCAAACCTGTCAATCAAGCCCTGGTCACCCTAGCAGGCCAGCCAGGCCGAAGGTGGCCAATAGCTCAGAAACGCTAAGCTAGAATCTGGCCCGGGTGCCTGCTCTTTTCGGGTCTTTTGGGAGTCTAGAACACACTGGGGCTTCTCACATTGGGGCAAAAAAACCCATATTTTTTTCTCACCCAATTATTTCAAGAGATGTAATGCAATATCAGGAGGCCCTGTAAACTCAGAAAAGCATTGGGAAATTTGACTTAAAGTCCATTTTCCTTTGCAAGAGGAAAAATTGGTTTTCTGGACGATATGTCAGAGCTGTCGTGGGGCAAAAACCTGAGAAGTCAAAGGCGTGGCCACCTTAGAGACCACAGGTGACCTCGTGTCCCCATCCCACCCTCTCCTCGTCTCACTGACTGGCTGGCTCCTCTGTGCCTGTTCCTGTCCTTGCTGACCTGTGTCGCATTCCATTCCGAACGTGTTTACAGATTTCTCTTAAGCAATGTTGTGTTTGCAAGGCTTTTATAGAACCAAATCTGTTTTTGTGAAGCACAACATCAAAAATGTAGGTCATCACATCATTACCCTCCTCGCTCCACACGTTTTGCCTTTGGGGTTATGGTTGGGGTTTCGGGTTTATGTTGTTGTTGTTTATTTGTTATTTTAAAGATAAATCGCACTTTTAAAAAAAATAATTGGTTGACTTAATATATTTGCTTTTTTTTTTTTTCTCACCTGCACTTAGAGGAAATCTGAACAAGTTGGAAAAAAAATTTTTTTTTTTTGTTTTGTTTCAATTCTAAGAAACACTTGCAGCTCTTTAGTATTCACTTGAGTCTTCCTGTTTTTCCTGTACCAGGTCATGGTCATTTTGGTTGTTTTGATTGTTTTCGTAAAAAACAAACAATTGAAAACCTGAAGATTTCTGCAGGCTGTTGTAAGCATGTTTACCTGTGGGCTTGCTTTGTGTGTCTGTTAAATGAATGTCATATGTAAATGCTAAAAATAAATCGACAGTGTCTCAGAACTGAATAACTGCAGTGGCTTGATGCTCTAAAACAGTGTAGGATTTAAGAATAGATGGTTTTTAATCCTTGAAATTGTGATCGTGACCCATGAGTGGAGGAACTTTCAGTTCTAAAGCTGATAAAGTGTGTAGCCAGAAGAATACTTTTGGTTTTGTTTTGTTTTTTTTTTTGTAACCACTGTCTTAATGGCAAAATAATTATGGTAAAAAACCAAGTCTCGTGTTTATTATTCCTTAAAACCTCTGTGTTATATTACCATGGAACGCCTAATAAAGCAAAATGTGGTTGTTTCAGGGCTGTGTCTGTTTTGAGATGTTCTGGAGGTGGCTGCTTGGCTCGGGGCTCTCACAAAACTCCCTCTCCAGAAGCACTCACGGAGCTTCGGTTTGGTGGCTGACTCCCCGTCGCAGGTTGCTATGTCTGGGCCATAGGATGAGGTCTCGTTCCAAGCAAAGCTGCGGCCTGCAGGTGCATGGCAAGCCGGGAGTCCTGGACAGGCCGTGCAAGCCTCCTGGGTCAGGCTGCAAGCCGAAGTTTGAAACCAGGAATTGGGTGGGACCATAGAGGTTAGCATGGGTCACCCCCCTGGGCCCTCTGCTTCCTTCCAGGGTACTTACCCTGGAAGACCCTCAAGCATGGGCACACAAAGATGAGGCTTGAGGGTCCATGCCTCTGTCAGGGAGCTTGCAGGAAACTGGGATGCCAAGGCCTGGGCTTCCACGCTCAACCAGCTGTCAAGAATGCAGCCAGGGCAGGAGCCACGCCCCGCCCCAGCCCTGGATGCTTGGTTTCCATGGTTACCGTGTCAGCTGGCACTAGCCTTATTGGTTCTGAAGACAATGAGCCAAGAGGGTATGTGCTTCCAGCGCCCCTGGCCAGTCTTGAGGCTGACAAGTCTTGTTCTCTTTTTCCATCTGTCCTCTGTTCCTTCCCTTTTTGTTTTCTACCCAGCCCTGTGTCTAACAGGATATGAGGCAACTTACAAAAATATATACATGATACCCAGGTTTTATAAACAAAGAGTGTGTGGGCGAAAGGAAAATAAGAGTAGGAAAAATAAGATAAGGCCCGAGAGGGGTTAGTGCAAAGCACTTGCTGGGAGTGTGGAGTGTTCTAGCAACAAATACATGTTACAACATTTACAGTGACAGAAGGTAAACATAATTAGTCCTTCGGAAGCATCCTGATCTTCAGCCCCGAGGGCAGGTCCTGGGCCTCCCGGTAACCGCAGTGTTGAGTGTCTAGGGCTGGCTCTCACCCTGCCTGCCAATGGCATGGCTCTGTGGTCCGGTGAAGTCGCATCTGTCTGGGAGAGGGGGGCAAAATGTCTCCCCCTAACATTTATGGGACCTGGGACAAGAGTTGAAGTGGAGACCCCAGGCCCACAGCCTTACCCTCGTCTTATTCCCACCCTGGCTTCACCCCACACCGTGACAGGCGTCCTGCCCACGCCTGTGGACCCCCCCACCCCAGCCCACGTGCCCAAGCTCTGCCCGACCCCCAGCCAACAGCTGCCCTGAGGAGTGTCCACAGCAGCTGTGAGGTCTGCCCTCCAAAGGACAGGAGCCAGCACAGAGGCCCATGAAGGTACCAGGAGGGGACCGCAGGGACCCAGATGTAAAAGCTGGTCTGAAAGGGGCAGCCAGGGCTTGTGGTCTGGGGACATCTCACTGACCCTTAGTAACTCCTCATCCCTCTGGCGAGAGGCTTGCTGGAGGCACCCAGAGAGCAGGTCTCTAAAGGTGGATGAGGACAGCTAGTGCCACGTGGGTAAACACTGGGGCCAGCTGTAGAACTCTTGGTTGGTGTGATTGACTCCAAAGACAGATTTTTAGAGCATCTAGAAAAAGTAAGTGGAATGCATATCCTTCTGGAAGTGGTTTTTGTCTTGCGTTGCTGTGAGTTGAAAGTTACATTCTCTGGGACGTGTTTGTAGCACACATTCTGTAAGCAAAGGCAGATCTATTCTTCCTCCCAGCAGCTGAGTTGGGACAAAGTCCTGAAGGTGCTAATATGGGCAGAGTAGAGCACTACAAAGGAACAATAGGAAGCTGCTGGAAACAGTGTCCTAAATGTGTCTCCTTGCAAGGCAGATCGTAGAACTACGAGACATCAGAGAGGCTGTCAATTATTTAACAGAACAATCTGCTGGTTGAAGTCACAATGACAATTGCTAACGTTTATTGTTATACACCAGGCTCTGTCCCAAGCAAGGGCTTGGCACCTATTAACTCAGTTAACCTTTGCAGCAACCCGTGCAGAGGATACCATGGTTTCTGCTGTCGCACAGATGAGGAGACAGAAGTTCAGAGAGTTAAGCAACTCGCCAGAACCAGGCTTTGAATCCACGCAGTCCGGGGTCAGTGGGTGCATTTCTAACGCTGTTATTCCACACCTCTCGCGAGAAAGCCCCTGTTTAGAAGGGCGTGGGCAACACAGAGGTGAAGAGCCCTGGCGAATGGACTGAGCAGGTCCCAGGGAGGAAAAATGTGGGCAGATGAAGAAGAAAACAGCATCGGGAAACCAACACTGATTTGGAACTCCGTGGACTCTGGTTAAGAAGAAACAAGACAGCCTACAAAGGACCCCAAAAGAGCCCAGAGGGGGACAAAAAGTATGAAGGAAAAACAAGAACAATTTGAATGCGTTAAGTTTCAAGATTTGGGGAAATTGCGTTGGTTTGGTGAGAAACTACAAATGTGTGTATACACAGCAATATGTATATAATTAATTTTTATAAGGATTTCGGAAGAGTGCATAAAATAACGTCTGCAAAAATGATTCGGAGGGGGGAAAAAGGGAGCTGGATGCGGAAATGCATCGCAGCTCTATCAAGGTCTGGTGTCATGGGGAGAGGGCTGGTGCAGAGCAGAAGATGACAGGCAGGTGGCAGTTTACCAGGGAGAGGGTCTCGAGAGCTGCAAGGAGAGGGACGGGCAGGACAGACCCTGGGACCCTTGGAGGAACAGCGGGAGGGCTGACGAAGACCAAACACTGCGGCTTATAAAGTTACACGGTTGGAATAATTTATTACGTTGAGATGACGCACGAGAGCTAAGGCTTGTCCGTGCTAGGGTTTACGCCTACTGTCCTCATCCTAAAAAGCTTCTTCCCACCACACACAGCCATCCGGCCACACTGGCCTGGGAACCAGGGCTGGGCTGGAGCTGACAGTGAAGGTGAAGGTCCCCTCCAGCCACGACCTTGCCCGAGACCGGCTGTGGGCAGCTTTATCTTGCGGCTCTGGGGCCCCCAGGGACTCTGCATGGAACCCAAGCATGGACCCCGGGAGGAAGGGGGCAGGGAGGGGAGAACCGACCGTCCTGCAGCTCACAGCTCTTTAGGGTCAGTCAGCGAAGACCAGATGGACAGTGGACTTGGCATTGAGGCCTCCCATTTCTGATGGTCATTTCCCTTGATTTTTTCTATCACTCCAGAGGTTCCCCTCTGCCCTTGAAGAGGCCTCTCAGTCCTTGGGGAAATCCTGTCCCCAGTCGAGGACAGGGAGAGCTGCTCTGTCCAAGTCACTCGGGCATTGAGCGCCCTCTGCTGGAGACATGCATCGTTTACCTTTTATTATGTATTTCAGCCCAGAATGCAGTGGAGGACTTCCTCTCTCGGGAGAACAAGAGAAGGGCAAGCCGTCTGCTGGGAGGGGTCGTGATGTCCTGCCTCCGGGCAGGGACAGGGACTCTCAGCTCCATCTCCCACTCTGCACCCAGTTTGCTCACCCACTGCACCCTCCACTGCACCCGCTTTTGAGGTCCGGCACCTTTAGTCCCCCCTCCTCTCTGTTGTCTGCTCTTAGCCTCCCTGGTCTGTCCCCTGAGCCCCACCAGGACCCATGGTAGGTGCTTTGACTTTCCTGCTAGTCCCCTCCATTTCCTCCCGCTGTGCCTGTTGAACAACCCCGGCCACAGCAGCCTGGCGGCCAGCAGCCCCCACACCCCCCTGTCTTAACCCCGAGCACCCCAAACAAAGGACAGGCACAGCCGGTCACAACGGGGGACCTTCTGACTGTCGCTTGACTGCTCCCAGGTGGTCCATCGAATTTGGTCTCAGCCCACAGGAGAAGGCAGACTTGGAAACAGATAACTGTGATCTGTGTTGTGACAGACCATAAACCACAAGATTACACAAGCAGGAGGTTGTAAGTAATTGGGGGAGATGAGAAAGGCTTCCCCAGAATTAACAGGTCTTTGTAAAACAGAATAAAGGAAAAAATGGGGACGCCTGCTACGGCAGAGCGGTGACCCGTGCCATGGGCCCTTGCCATGTGCATGTCAGACCAGGCCCTTCTCCAAGGGCTTCGATCTGATCCTTGAACTCAAGCTTTTCATGTGAAGTGTGTGAGGGCCAGCTGGTTCTCATCCTGCCTTTCATTCCCCGGCGACCTGACTGCCAGTCACCGTCAGTTTTCAGTGGCCCAGGTGCAGATCTGAGCTGGGGCTGCTTATTGAAATGGTACCATGTTCGCCGAGGGTCACTCCGTTGGAGTTGTTATGGCACTTCCTCTCCTCCTTCCCAGATCTCCACCTTCTCCACCACACCCCACCCCGCCAGGCAGCTCCCAGCCGTTCCCGAATGGGCATCCTGTGCTTCAGGTCCTTACCTGGAGAAACGGTCTTTTAATTGCTTAATTCCACCTTCACAAGGGGTTCTGTCTGCCCACGCCCTTTCCTTCCCGGGTGGCAGGAGGAAGGCCTGCTGCTGGTCTCGGCGGATGCAATACCTGTGGAGCGGTTTGGAGTGTGACCAGTGAAAACTTGGCGTCGGCCGGCTGCGCCGTGTGTCCGCTAGGTGGCAGCAGAGCACGAGCTGTGTGCGAGCAAGTTCCGGGGCCTCTGCGTGCGCCTGGGAACGGGATGCTACACTCCTCCCTAAACCGGCACCAGCCGGCTGTGGCTGGGTGTGGACCGACCTCTGACTATGAGGAGGACTCTGAGTTAGAGAGATTTAGCAAGAGCCACTAGAAAAAGTTGATTACTAGGGGCTAGAGTCTCAGATCCCGCCTTGAAGTGAGATAGCCGGTCTTCCTGGCAGGGGCACCCTGTTGTCCGGCAGGGTGGGTAGCCGTGTTGTCAGTTAGCCAATCAGCTGCAATAGGAGTCAGGCTCTTCCTTCCCTCCTGCCCCTGTTCTGCTGCTTCATGTTGATGTCCTATAGTCAGGGCATCTCTCTCTCCCTGCCCCTCCCTGCCCTGGGCCCCCCCCCCCTGTCAACACAGGTGCTGTAAAGTTACCTGTGCCTGCTCAGACTGGTCACCATACTTCACCTCCTTCCCTCCCGTCCCTGACTCTGGTTCCCCACGCCCAAGCCTGAATTTCTTATTATGCCTGATGGACGGAGAATGAGGCTGCACAAGGTGGTTCAGGACACCCAAAAGGCGCTGCCTCTCCACTGTGGAGTCATGCGTCAGAAAGGCGCTCCCTCTACGTTTGTATTGTGAGTGAGTCAAAGTGTTACAGTACCTGGGATAGGTGATACGTTAGCTGCTTAGGTGCTACTGATGCCAATTCATTTATCTGTACTAATTAGCACCCTAGGTGAATGGAACAGACACCAGATAAGCATTTTCAAATAACTATTTAAAAACAAGACAAAAGTAATATGTGTGAAATGTAAAAAAGATATTTAAAAAGTAAAAACACAAAGAAAGAAATACATTTTGGCATGTATATTCATATATTCATATATTCATATATTCATATATATATACTCCCTGCCCCCAGCTGATGGAATTCTATATATACACTGTGCAGGAATATTTTTAGTAAAATCATTTTTAATGGCTGGTTAATATTCCATTTTAAGGAAATGTAACTTATTGGACCAATTCCTTATTTTGGGTAGTTAAAATGGTTTTCATTTTGTCTATTCTAATTATTTTTTTAATGAACACAACTTGCAGATAATTCCTTGGATTCATTCATGATTAAATCCTTAGTACAAATTGCTAGAAGTTGAATTCTTACATAAAAAGCTATGTCTGTTTTAAGTCTTTTATTTGCATTTTTTTTTTTTTTTTTGAGACAGAGTCTTACTCTGTTGCCCGGGCTAGAGTGCCCTGGCATCAGCCTAGTTCGGAGCAACCTCAAACTCCTGGGCTCAAGCAATCCTTTTGCCTCAGCCTCCCAAGTAGCTGGGACTACAGGCATGCGTCACTATGCCCGGCTAATTTTTCTACATATATTTTTAGTTGGCCAATTTATTTCTTTCTATTTTTAGTAGAGATGGGGTCTTGCTCTTGCTTAGGCTGGTTTCAAACTCCTGACCTTGAGCGATCTGCCCGCATCGGCCTCCCAGAGTGCTAGGATTACAGGCGTGAGCCACCATGCCCGGCCAACTTTTATTTGTATTTTCAAAATGACTTTCAGAAAGTCTGTACACAATTGTCCTTGTATTCTAACACTGACTATAATAACTTTTAAATATTATTTGCCAATTTGACAGACGAGGAATTCTATTTTTGTGTCACCTGTTTATTTGGTTGTTGTTTCTTCTCTTTATTAGCCATTTGTGCTTATTCTTTGTGAATTGTGTATTCATGTCATTTGTTCATTTAAAAATTATAGTGATTATCTCCTCATTGATTTGTATGAACTCTTTGTAACACAGGTTATATTTATCTTTTTTCTGTAATGTGTTTGCAAATATTTCCCCAATTTGTCATTTGGTTTTAAAAAGATTTAAAAAATGTGTTAATATTCAAAAGCTTTATTGGGGTGTAACTGACATACAATAAACTATACATATTATAATTTGATAGGTTTTCACATATGTATACTTTTATGAAATCATCACCACAATAAAGATAATGAATGTATCAATCACCTCCCAAAATTTCATTGTACTTCTATGTAATTCCACTCCCCCTCATTCCACCCCCTTCCCAGGCAACCATTGATTTGCTTTCTGTCATTATTAATTAACTAGGATTTTCTAGAATCCTACGTAGGTGGAATGATGCAGTATTTATAATTCATTTTGCCAGCCTTCTTTCTTTTTTGTATGGCTTCTTTTTCCTCAGAATAATTATTTCTATATTCACCCATGTTGTTGCATATATTAACACTTCATTCCTTTTTATTTGCTGGGTTGAGTGTTACATTGCATGGATGAGTTGTTTATATCTATTCAGCCGATAGTCATCCGCATTATTTTCAGCTTTTGGCTATTGCAGTAAAAACTGCTGAACAGTCTTTGCAAAGACATAGGCCTTCATATGTAAATACCTAGGAGTGGAATGGTGAGATCATATAGTAAGTATATGTTTAACTTTTTTTTTTTTTTTTTTTGAGTCTCGCTTTGTTGCCCAGGCTACAGTGAGTGCCATGGTGTCAGCCTAGCTCACAGCAACCTCAATCTCCTGGCTCAAGCAATCCTTCTGCCTCAGCCTCCCAAGTAGCTGGGACTACAGGCGTGCGCCACCATGCCCGGCTAATTTTTTGTATATATTAGTTGGCCAATTAATTTCTTTCTATTTATAGTAGAGACAGGGTCTCGCTCTTGCTCAGGCTGGTTTCGAACTCCTGACTTCGAGCAATCCGCCCGCCTCGGCCTCCCAGAGAGCTAGGATTACAGGCGTGAGCCACCGCGCCCGGCCTATGTTTAACTTTTTAAAATGAGTTGCCAAACTGTTTCTAAAGTGGTTTTACCTTCCCACCTGCAGTGTGTGAGTCCCAGTCACCTCCTCCCTAACCTACGCTTAGTAGGTCAGTCTTTAAAATTTTTAATTTGCATTTCCCTAAGGACAAATAACGTTGAACAACTTTTCATGTGCTTGTTTGTGATTCGTATAACTT